AGTCCATAGGCGTCGCAACCATTATATGTGAAGGGGACAAGTCCCCCCCACATTAATAAAACGTTCATCTGGACCCCCCCACTTTTACTATAAAACATTAGTTCAGGCGGCGCAGTTTCTCTTTCTTCGTGAACAAATCCATTCCACTTGATCAATAGGAGAATAATCAAGCTACTAAAACTCCACTCCAGGTTTTCCTGGTTACCTCCAACTCTCCACCGTCCCTTCCTGCCTCTTGCCTCGTCAGAAAACGCGCACAGGTGGAGGAGGTGGAGGTTCCTGTGTTACTCGCTCGCCAGTTTAGCAGCTTAGTGCGAGCAGTGGTTGACCAGGGGGTTGATCATAAACATATATTCATGTTAGGAGGATGCTTGAGAGGAGCTACGTCTGTAGCATCTTAGCTCAGCAGTAACTGTGAGGCTGCAGGTGTAAGAGACTCTGTGTGTTCAGGTGCATTAAAGTTGAAATGTCTTTAAAACCCCACACCTTATTGTCCACAAGCTTCATGAGAAACATCATTTAGATGAGTAGTGTTGAACACAAGTAAAAAAGTCCAGTAGTGATGTTTTTTATTTCTCTATAAACACAAATAGTGCTGATCTGACGCTCTGTATTAAAGTATGTTAAAGTTAAAATGTCTCTAAAACCCACAGCTGAATTTACACAAACTTGGTGAGAAACATGATTTAAATGTGTGGAATTAAAGGAAATCTAGGGGAAATGCTGCTTTTTTGTTCACTAGTGAACATCTTTTTTTACGTGCGCACACACGTGTACGTGCGCACACGTGCACGCACATGCACACCTACACACATCATTGTGTCCCCTCCACATTACGGATGCTTCTGACGCCCTTGGCCAAGTCACAACAGAAGTCGTCTCAGGGCACTGAACAGAAATATTCATATTTAAAAATTATACTTTTTTTACTTTATAATTTTTTTAACTCCAGAACCGGTCCTGAAGTGTGGTGGAAATCCTACATGTGAAGAGCTGATCTGAGCAGGGCAGATCAGAGTAGTGCTGAGTAGGAGCGGTGGAAAAGGGGCATAAGACAGCAGGAGTTGAGAGGAAGTGCCTCAAATTTGAGAGAAGGCTAAAGGAGAGAAACATCTGCAGAAACACCTGCCTGGCCGTGTTCTTATCCCCCGCTGTCGAAGGAGAGAGGAGATAATATGTTCCCTTGCAGGTGGGCAAGCGCTTGATAGTAGTTGGCAAAATATCTCATGAATCATTAGTTGGATTTTATTAAAATTCACACAAATTAAACATTAGTTGTTTATCTACAACTCTTTACCTTATGGAGTCCACCCCATTCAAAATGGCCACCTCAGCTAAGCTAACTTTACTGGTACCTGTTGGGGTCAACTATGTCTGTTAGCATATATTGTGAACCATGGATGGTTTTTAATGAAAGTCTTAGAAAACAATCATCGGATGAACATCTAAAACACATCTGGAGTCAACCAAATTCAAGATGGCTGCCACAAACGTGATAAAACACACAAGTTGCTCTAACTCAGCCAAATTTACAAGTAGACTTTAAATTTGGTGTGGTAGTAACTGAGCATCATCCCTAACTTGTATTCTGAGCACTACACATTGTACAATATGCTAACATAAAAATGTAGCATTAACTGTTGGTGTCAATCTTGTCTGTCTGTTAGCAAAATATGTGATGAACTGGTTAGACTTGAATGACGGCTTCATAAAACAATTACTGGGTTGACGTCTACAGCTGATTAACTTTTGGAGCCACCCCAATTCAAGAAGGCTGTTAAAGCTAAGTGGCGTTAGCATTACAGAAATGTCTGTAACTCAGTCAGTTTGACAGATGTTGAGCTTGAGACTGAGGTTCTCACATCTGGTGTCATAGTAGCTGAGAGCTGTTCCCATCAAATACTTTTAAGAACTACACGTTGGTTAAGATAATTACTTAAAACATCAGCAATAACTGTTAGACTCAGCACTATTTGTCTGTTAGCAAAATATCTCATCAACGCTAGAGAAATTTTAATCAGCCATAAAGCAGTGGTTGGCTGTGCACCCTCAGGTCTTTGCCCAGGCTGAGCCATGTGGCAGCTCAGCTGGTGTCACTGCTCAGCGTCGTGCTCCTCTGTAAGTGCATCACGGTGCCTGTGGTTCAGCGCTCGGACCCTCATCAAGTTTACTGTTGCAACATCATAACATGCTTCATTTTTAGCACTGCCCTGCACAACACGTGCTGGTGTAATACCAGTTTCTCATCTGCGCTGATGTCAGTCACTTTATCTTGCGTACATTTCAAAAGTTCAACATTTTTCCCCGTAAGATTTGGACAACCGTCCGTTGTGACACCTGCCAGTCTGTCCCATTTCAGTCCCACCGTGTCCACGCACACATTTACCTCCGTGAACAGATCGTTCGCTGTCGTCGTCCCTTTCATGGACCGCATTACAGCCAGCTCCTCCGTCATCTTGAAGTCTGTTATTCCATGGACAAAAACTGGCAAAACCCAATGCAGGCATGTTCCTGTTTTTAGTATTCTAGTATTGTACAGCGCTTTGCAATCTAGCTGTTTGTGTTTCTTTTTTTAATACCATTTCTCTTTCATTTATTCTCAATTAACACACTTTCTTTTATGATTGTCTGTCGTTGCCTACTGTTGTCGTCACTCTCTGTTAAATTCAGGTCTCTCTTGTAAATGCGTCCCGAGGCTCAATGAGAGTAACCTGTATAAATAAAGCTTGAATGAATGAATGAACGTCTGGAGCCAACCCACTTTAAGCCACTTTTATTGTGGTAGCCGCCATCGCTAATTGACATTAGCCAAGAGAAATGGCTTTAACTAGTGTGGTAGCTGCTGAGTTATTCTAACACAGCTCATAAAATCTCTTAATGCCATGAGATTATCCATAAGGTCATTTTTAAGGTTTGACCAAAACACCCACAACTCTATCATTTGAGGCGATGTCAGTCTAAAACTCTGACGTTACGTTAAAGGCAGTGGGCGATAAGTATTTCTTCAAGGAATGTTGGGCCTTTGATTGTAGTGACGATCGATCTGATTGTGTCCTGTAAACTTTGACCTGTGCTGTCTGGTGACAAACCTTTCCCTGCTGTTCCTGCAGCTTTTGGAGTTATTTTCTTTTTCATTGTTTGTAAGCCATAATCATCAACATTAAGCCATAAAGACAAAAACATTTCTCTCTCTGTGTAATGGATCTATATAATAAGAGTTTCACTTTCTGAAATGACGGACATAAAAAGGAACTCTTTCACAATATTGTAATTATTTGAGCTGCACCTGGGTGTATGTGAGGGGGTTCAACCCGGATGCTTGCAGGCTTTAAGTGACGTGTGGTGCATGTAAATCCATTAGTAACAGAAGGAGGGGGGTCGGTGGTCCAGAGTGAAACCTAATTCTTTGTTCACAGGTTTGATGGGGACAGAACGTTGCTGTGTGGTTGGAGTTTGAACACAGAGTTTTATTTATGTCAGTGTAAAACATTCACCCTTTTGGGATCTTTTCAGACCCAGGGTTTCTACCCACTCTTAAAAAGTATGGATTTGTTGTAGCTCTTTTCCAGGCCTTCTATCAATTCTTCAATTCATCAATTCTTTTCTTGTGAGAGACCTCGTCTGTATTTGTCACGTCTTTAGGAAAAATGACACTATGTAAGGAATGTCCGAGTCATGATTTTTGTCTCTCTGACACTGGTCCGAGTCGTGGAGTTGAAACTTTGACATGTAATACATTCTACTGTAAATAAATGAAAATAACATTCCTTACAACAATTATCACCCACTGCCTTGCATGTTAAAGTTGTAAACAAAGATGTTGTGTATGGACGGTTAAAAGTGACACAATTAATTAAATAAATAAATACATCATAAAATACAGTAAATAAATGTGAATGTCCAATGAAAAAAATATATACAACAAGAAATGTCCCATTAAATAATTAAATGAATCATTTTAATATTTAGGGCAGCACGGTTGTGCAGTTGGTGGAGCTGCTGCCTCTCAGCGAGCAGGTTATCCCGGTTCAAATCCCAGTCCGGGGGTCTTTCTGGGTGGAGTTTGCATGTTCGCTCCGTGCATGCGTGGGTTTTCTCCAGTTACTCCAGTTTCCTCCCACAGACCAAAAACATACGTTAGACTGATTGGTAACTCTAAAGTGTGTCTAGGTGTGAGTGAGAGTGTGAATGGTTGTTTGTCTCGTTTGTCTCTATGTGTCCCTGTGATGGACTGGAGACCTGTCCAGGGTGTCCCCCGCCTCTCGCACAGTGATTGCTGGACATGGACACCGGTGACCCCCGTGACCCAAAATGGAATAAGCGGGTAAAGATAATGGATGGATAATTAAATCATTAAATATACAATTAAATTATGAAATGCACAAATAAACAGTTGAATGTCCCATTAAATAAGTAAATGTACCTTTTTAAATAATGAATAAATATTTAAATGTCATTTTCAAAAACATTTTTATAAAAAAAAATACATTTAATCATTTCACTCTATTTATTTGTTCCATGGTTCCTGTGCATCTGTGTCATCATGAAATCACGTTAACTGTCAATCTCGCTCATCGAACTCAGTGGGCGGGACTAGTGCGGCTCGTTGACAGACCCTGGCGTGTGATTGGCTGCTCCACACAGCAAGTCAAGACGAATCGACCACAGATGATGGATTGACGCACAGCCAGAGAACACATTCTGACACATTACGGGGCATTAATCGTCTTGAAAACTACTTTCCTGAACCATCTCAGACAATCCGTAGTCCTAGATGAAGGAAAATATCAAGCTGCTACAAGAAACAGCAAATTTAATCAAAGTAGATCTGAGGCAGCCTCCACAGAGTCGAGCTGCAGTCGGAATGATGTCATTGGATGGCGTTCCAGTTTCTCGCTTGTCGGGGAAAAAGATAAAGGATCGCAGCAACAAGCCTGTGTGATTCTCTTGTTTCTGAGTTTAAAAAGTTGTCAAATGAATATGCAGTCCACTTGAAGAACATGTCGGAAGAAGAAGAGGAGGAAGGCGTGAAGGTATAGATGTTGTTTTTGTTGTTTCTTTGTAGAAAAGCGACTATTACGTTCAGTTTGTCATTTCTAATAGTGGTCACGTAGCACAACAATAAAGTAGACCGTGGATTTATAATGAAATGTTGTATATTTCTTCACTCTAACACACATTAGGATCAGTAGCACATCAATAAGTAACAGATCTATTGCTGCACCATGGAACAATCTTCCTCTTCCTGGCGAGCCACTTCACTGTCCACTTTTAAAACTCTTAAATGCACATTTTTATCCCCTGGCTTTTGACACAGCCTGAGACTCTCTCTGGTTTATTTTTACTACTGTTTTTATTAGTCTTCCCATTTTAACTCTTTTTATTCTTCTTTGTGTTTAAATGTTCTTGATTTAATATGTGTACAGCACTTTGTTGCAGCAGTGCTTCATAAATAAAGTAGTAGTAACAAATAGTAGATTGATGATGAAATGTGGCCTGATATTACATACTTTATTTTTTACTTTTGCACACCTTTAACTTAGGCTCCTGAAGACTGGAACTAGGTGGAGATGAGCAAATCAAACCTTCAGACAGTTGAAGTTCAGGTGGAGGCGTCTTCATGGTCTGCAGGACCCCAGGACTGATGCTGCTGCAGCTCTCTGCATCATTTGTGCGTCAGAAATCTGCAGGAACAGCCAGAGCTGCAGCGTGCAGGGAGATGAAGTGTAAAGAATGATCATTGTGCTGCAGACCTGGTTCTGAGCACATCGGATTACATTATGAATGTTCTTCTGACCTTTGCAAGAAACATTTGGTGGAAAAAAGAAAAAGATTATATTTATATTTTTGATTTGTGGTAAAAATGAATGAAAAGATTCTTGTCGAGCTGTATAAATAAAGTAATAGTAGCAGTACATAAAGTGTAGAGTTATTATTCTCTGTGAGAATACTTGTGTGTCATTAAACAAGAGTTTCTCACAATTTACTGCTTCATTTTGTTTCATCTGTTGCTCACAGCTCGCAAGAAAAAAAGTCTCACTGATAAATATTCAAATAACATTTTATTAACAAAGTAGAAATAATCACAGTATATGAACTCTTCAGGGTAAACATTTAATTAATACATTTAATACAAAAATACATAATTTAACACAAAAAGTTGAGTTGTTAAAAAAAGCTCAAGAGCTGGTGCTTGACTCCATCAGCTCTTCAAACATGACACTAAAAAGTAAATGTGTTTAAAAAAAAAGGTAAAAGTTGTGTAAAAACAGCATTTCATATACAAATGAAGCTTTACTGAGCAGCTGCGTCACAAACCTTAAAACCCTGTTGGACGGACCAGTTGTTCCAGTGTCTCCTCGGGCTGATTCACTTCCTCAGACTGTCTGGAGCTCCATCACCTCACCATCCACCCTCCTGTGGTTACAGAAGTTGGATGCTGTAGGTGTGGATGTAGAGGACATCGGTCTCCTGGTGTTGGGCTGGAGTTCTGCGCGATGTGGGCGCTGTGGCTGAGTGGTTGGAGCAGTCGTCCGCTAATGCGAGAGTTGGGGGTTCAAATTCACCAGCAGTCACATGCTGAAGTGTCCCTGGGCAAGACACTGAACCCCTCATTGCCTCTGATGTGTGTCCCATTGGTGTATGAATGTGATAAAGCTCTGATTAGTCTCATAGAATGATTTGTTCAATTATCTTTGTAGAGATTTAGTAGAGTGCTGTGTGAATGGGTAAATGAGGGAACAGATTGTTGTAAAGAGTTTTGAGTATCTTGATCAGATAGAAGGCGCTATATAAGTACAGTCCATTCACCATTGTAAGTGCACTCGTCTGAACCACAGAACATCAACAGATTAAAATGATTAAATTTTATTAACTTTATCGCTGATGTTTCATTACTAATGAAACAACAGTTAATAGTTGAACATTTCCAACTGTTGTTACTACTACAGTACTACTTTACCAGCTGTGGCGTGCAACTCTCTGGGTTCTGCTAGTTGTTCTTCTACTAATAGAGCCTCAGGTCTCAGTTCTGATGCAAAGGACCAGGGACAGGTCCGCAGAGGGTCCACAAACCTGTTCCATGTCCTATCAAATCGAGGTAAACTAAAAACAGAACACAGCAGTGTCTCACAATAATCAGCCACAGACGGGGTGCAGTTATCTGCACACGTTGGTCACTGAAGTCTTCAAAAAGTAGTCTGGCCGTAGTTTAACATAGTTAAACAAAGTTTATGGTTGTTTTACAGGGATTCTAATGATACTAGTTCTGAGAGAGTTTTAAAAATTCAGCCAATGAGGCCTTAACAAAACACAAACATGAGGTCCAGAATATTTTTTAAATTCACTTTTAATACTAATTTGCTATTCTGAATAAACTGTTCGACTAAAAACGAAATGTTACGTTAAGTTCCTCGTATCATCGCTACCAATGACCACTGCTAACAACAATAACAATGACATTTCTGTGTGGTGTTTCTTGCATACAAATGGTGTTTTAACATGTCCTCTTATAAACACTGAACAGTACTGCGTGTATGACTGAATACATGTAAAATAAGTAATGCAAACTGCTAATAAAAGTAAAAGTAAGCGTTTTACTCAATGTTGTGGTGAGTAGCTGCCATCTCCCTCTTCCTGATTGAGAATTCCCACTTCATGGGCTGTTCCAGATGAAATGTTATACTCATAAGTAGGAAGTTCCCACTTCCCAGTACAACTGGAATGCACCATCAGATCCACAGAGAACATGATGCACCACACAAATGCCCGGGTTCGGGTGTTAGTACCGAAGAAATGCTAGAGTACTTCTTTCAAGTTTACAGTCACTCTGGGGTCAATGTCTTGGTTGATAAGTGCAGAAAAACTCCAGTAACTTCAATAAATTGCTTAAACTTCTCTACCACAAACTCTGGTGAGCAACTCCAGCTTTTATATCTCTAGCTTGGTCTAAAGCATCTCTGTTTACCAGAGAGCTCACTGAGGAGAGAGACATCAGACCAAAGCAATGGATTTCAGAAAATCAGTCTAGTGAGTTGAGGGCATCAGGCAGAGATGGGTCTTTGGGGCATTGTTCACTCC